AAGCCTTTTGAATGACTCGTTTACTGGCGGCGTATCCCGACTGCAGTCGACTCGTGTAGTCGTCGGCCGTAGCCTGCGGTGACGTACCGGTGATGGCGTCGTGATGTGTCATCACTGCCACCTCATTACTCGCCTCATCCATGTAGGCCCTGGTGTTCAGGGGGTCTAATCGGGCCAATACTGACAACTGTTTGCTCGCCTACAATAAAATTATAATTTATTTTTATTAACATTAAACATATAAATTGTAATTTAAATTTAATTGGACATTTAATATAACTTTTAAAAAATATTTATTTTATTTATGGGAGTGCGCTTCAAAGAATTTGATTTAAGCATCAACTTTTAAAAAATAATAATATTGTACCTAAAATCTAAGTGATATTAACTGCTAATATCAGTATACAATATTTATAAAATTTTATATGAGGTGCAGTTATGAATGCAGATAATTATATTATTATTATACATATTATTATAAACTAGCTGTTTATAAACCTATTAAGTAAACTGTAATTTAAATAACTTTAGAAAAATCTCATTTTACAAAAATAATTTTAAGATACATGGTATCGAAGGGACCACTTAAAAATTATTTTAAAATAACTTATAATTAAAAAATATAAAGTATATAAAATCGGAGATTTATGAACTATCATTTTGATTTAATTATTCTTAAATAATTTTATCTTGGTATTTTGAATAAAAATATAATATTATATCAGTATAATTCTTTGTAAAAAGCTAGATATAAACTTATAATTAGTAAACTGTAATTAAAATTTTTGTAGGAATTTAATCTCACTCTATCAAATTAATTTTAATAATTCATGGGCTGTTAAAGTCATGGTATGAATACGATTTAAATAATATTTTTAATCTACAATAATAATAAAATTACTTCAAACCTGCAACATATTATTAGTAATTCTATCCTGGTACTTCAATGCCGGTCTGTTAGAATAATACCCGACCCAATAGGACAGGTAGTCTACCGACCTCTCAGCAAACGTCCGGTTGAGTCCATTAAGGGCTTTAATATAGCAATTAGGCGTTGAGTACATCATATTGACCTCCGGGTGCCGGGCCTTTGCCTCCTTAAGCATACGCTCCATGTTTTCAAACCACGTGTTCGCTGTCTTATACCTGAAGTCCATACCCATTGTCATCAGCACTTGGTTTGTGTTTCCGTAGTCTTTGCTATAGTTTTTGGCGATATCTATGAATTCCCGGACCTTTTGCTCCACATTTTGGTCGGTTATGGAGTTATTGTTGTTTTCAAAGTCATAGCCCTTAGGGGGCTCGTAGTGGGCGTGCAATACAGTGGTAAAGATCTTGGTGTTTAGGTCCCGGGAGGCGTCCCATATGTACTCTCCCTTGTCTATACTGGGCCCCCGGTTGACAACGTGGGCGTCGAATCCCATTTGGGCGTATAATGAGGGCATTTCCAGGGAGGCGCCAAAGGGGTCAATTTGCCAGGATACTTTTGGGTGCGCGCACTGACCGAATGTTTGATTAATGAATTTTAAACCTGTTAATCGTATAAACATTACGAGAATTATTATTATTGATAGTTTTCTAAAAAGTATAAATTAAAAATTTTATGTTTATTAATTTGTATTATGTCGTTTAGCTAGTTCATAGAGTTCCAAAAGTGAGTAGCATGAGCAATTAGTACTGTTATAAGTATTAGAAAATGAAACTATTTGTAACCCTTTGAAACAAACTGATCTACTTTGTCCAATGTTTATTATTTTAAAACAAACAATAATTTAGAAATACTTATAAAATTATATTACATTATTCATGTTAATATAAAATACAGTATCGTATGACTTAAAAATAAGTTGATTATTTGCTACGAATTTTAAACTACTTATTAGCAAGTATTATACTTATTCATTAAATATGCTAATTAGTTATTAGAGCTAAATTAGCAAGGACATATACTACAGTATACAGTAAATAATTTAAACTTACCCAGGGTCATCTGATCAATAATATTATTATAATGAGCGGCACCCTCATCATTTACAGTCCACCCACCATTCGTGAACACCAACCGGCCCTCAGCCACCAGTTTCCTGACCACATCCCGGCGCTCATCGGTCTGTACACTCCACCATCGTTTGAAAAAATAAATTTCCACCTGGGTGAACTTGCGCTCAGCATTTTTCTCCAGTTCCTTCACCACATTCGTGATGATCAGGTGGACAGAGTCGTCGTAATAGCCATCAGCCGTTTTAAGCCAACCCACGTCATCGTGGGAGTGGGCGATGAGATGTATGTTCAGCTTTTTGGGGTCACTCTGTGGACAGGCATCATAGCCACACTTTCCCGATACGCCGTCCCATAGGCTTAAGCTTATGGTTAGACTAAACAGGAGTAACATATGGTTCATGACTATTGTGTCGAACCTATTGTCTAACTATTATTCAACTAAATAATAGTAAAACAATTAATTTAACAACTTATCTGGGTAGACACAGAAAATATATAGTATGTTACTCATGTATTTATATATTTTAAATAGTTCATATTAAATATTATCTATAAGGTACATGTGCTTCCTAGTACACCGTGCTCAAAAATGTATTTTTTTTATAAATTATGATAAAAACATAAAGTGTACATATGTACGTGTTATCATGATACAGTATCAAGTGCATGCATACCATGGTTTTATTTTAGTAATGTACCAATAATGTTTTTGAAAACAAATGACTGTATTTGTCAGATGTGTAATTTCTCATGTTCAAATAGTAATACAATAATTACATTATAATACAATATTTTTTTATTTTTTTATTTAAAATAATTTTTTCATTATATCAAATCAGAGCACACACATTAATTATTTCATTTAATTGTAATTGGCACAATTATTTAATATGCATTAGTTATTCAACAACTTTATTAGTAATTTAGATTTTTAAACTGTTATAAATGATTAATTTATCGTTAAATATATGTAAAAATAATCTATGTGTGGTGGGTTTATTAACTGTTCAGAAATTTTATATTTAAATTTTTAAAAAGACAAATTGTATTTGATCACCAAAAATAATTCACAAGTTTTTGAATTAAATATAATAATAATAAAATAATAATAATACCATATAATAATAAACTTAATTACAGACAAGTATTTGGTGGTTAAGACAGTCGTCTTTCTGCGAGCCCTGCCATCCGTAATAAAACTTATAATCAATTTTTCCGACAATTTTCTGCGGAGTGTGTATCGCATCGACCGATATATGTGTCGGTGTTTGGCTGTCCTTATTGCCGACCACCAAAAGAGTACCTATTACAATATTATTTAAATATTAATTAAGTATATTAATTTGTAAATTAAACATAAAAATATAAACAATTTAATTATTAACAATTTTCTGAATAACTTATAATAAACGATAGGTATTTAATTGTATTAATTGATTTACCATTGATAATAGTAACAAGCCGTGAAAGGTTCTTTTTTATTTTTAAAAAATATTGTGTAAAATGTAATAAATAAAATGTAAATTATGATAGTTATTAAAATTATTAAAGTTAATCTTTTATAATTATATACACTTTAAATGATATTACTCAACACAGTGTTTTATAAATTAAAATTGCCTAAATTATACTAACTGTAGTTAAATAAATAACCTATGATTAATATAACATTTTATTATTATGTTTACATATGGGATAACAATACAAGTGTCACCTTAAATTAAATTTGTAAAAATTTGAAAAATAGTTAAACCAGCAACTTAGGATTTATAATTAAATAGACGGAATGAGATCAAAAATTTTAAAATTATTTTGTGTAAAATAATCAAAGATATTAACCTAGACTCTTGGTTCTAGAGTATATTATTAATACTCCGATCCTGGTTCTTTAGCCCGGTCAATAAGTGTAATAGCTCACCCAAACGGACAGGTAGTGACTGCCCTTTCCTTAAACGTAACGTTCAGCCCATTAACGGCTATCATATAATAATTAGGCGTTGAGTACATGAGGTTCACCTCCGGGTGCCGGGCCTTCGTCTCCTTCACCATGCGATCCATGCTCTCGAACCATGTGTTCGCTGTCTTATACTTAAAATTTATGAATAATTTATAATCAATTAGTAATCGATTTTATTAATTGAATAATTATTGATGATAATGCAGTAACAAATTACATTAAAAACTGTAAATTTTTGTGAAATTTATAATCAATTTTATATTTAAACTTTTACATTTCTTGATGGCCTATATAACCTCCTGTTTTAACAGTTTTTATGAATGAATATTTTATTTTTTAATTATGAAATAACTTTAATTATATTACTCCTATTATATTAATAGTTAAATCATTTAAATCTAAATTCAATGAATAAATTGATTAATTTATGACAGTGCTTGCCAAGATATTTTAACATTTATTTATAAGTATTTCAAAAATTTAAACAGAAATGACACCATTTTGTACCAAAAGTTTTGTAATTTATCTTGTAATAATTAATGTATATATAATTAAATCGTTACCGTTTGACGGCTAATACGAATATATTTTAAAATACGTTTTCCAATTGATATTATAAAATGTAAATAAAATAATGTTAATAAAAATAAAAATGTGACATACTCCAGGGAAAATACATTAGTTTTAATGCCTTAACGTAATTATCTATAATAACAAAATTTTATTAACAGTTTTAATATTGTCATACAATTCGCTCTCGATGTTATTAATATTTTATATAAAATTAAAACTATATATAAGAAATTTTTTTTATTAAGTGTCAAATTAAAATTATCATTATAAAATTTTGGACTAATAATGACTACTTTTTTTATGTTAATAAACCTGGTTCAAAAAATATGTCTAAATAATTAAAGTATTGATACAGGATTTAGTGAATATACAATTAATTAAATTGAATTGTTACTAAAGTAATAAATTATAATTAGCCGTGGTATACTATTTAACAATTTTATAAATAATTTATTCATTAGTTAAACAAAAGCAATTTTGAAAATAAAATAATATTGAAATGGTTGATAAAAGTAAAAGCATTTTCTATACACTGTTATGAATTACAAGTGACATTGCTTAAAATTATTTTTTTATATTACTACTATATTACTCTATTAAATTATCTATTATTTTATAAAATTGATTCTAAAGTTATTTATAATGCTGAAATGATTATTATTAACTAATGGTAATAAATTTTAAGTTGAAATTTTATTATTACTTGTTAATTTTATTTATTATTACAAGTTTCATTGTTACATAATAAATTAATAGCATAAATATAAATTACAAAATAGTACAGAATTATTCAATGTATGGTCGAGCGCATTTTATTAGAAATTAAATAAATTTATTTCAATAAATCCTTTAGTTTTACAGTTTGCTATGAGTATTAATGTTATGATAACTACTTTTGTAACTAATAAACGAGGCCACACCATTAAATGTGTACTAACTATTAAATTAAAATATAATTATATAAATACTCTAATAGATTATGTTTTCTGACCATCCTGAAAATAAAACCAATATTTAAAAATTACAGTTATAAAGTTATATTACTACTGTAGTAAATTATTTCTCTCTCTCCCAATTTTGTGGTCCTGAATGGGAGAGAGAGCTATTAAATAGTTTAAAGTTTAAACAGAGCTTAATATGTGATTACAGTTATAATTAGTAAATTATTAGCTGATTAAGTTATAGTACATTTAAATATGTTTGTATAAAATTAATAATAATTTAATATTTAATAATAACTAAATATATACCTTGCTCATTCTCTTTGACAGGGCGACCAGGAGAAAGACGGGGGTTTAAAGTCAAACCCAATAGGTTATGAAAAATCTTATTTATGATATCAAGGTTTTTATGTAATAAGGTTACAAATGAACTATTTACAATAAAAAAATTTAATTTTTTTATAAAAGTGTTAAATATTTATTTTGAGATTTAATTTTTTTAAAATAGAAAAGTTAATTAATTGGGCGAACCATATTATCTGGAACATATTGATTATATATCCGATGAATCCAACCCCAGAATCGACTGCTAATTATCCAAATAATCAAATCCTTGCCATTAGTGCCAAACCACAGACCAAACAGTCCTCCAATATATGACATACAGTCGATAAGTGACTGCACCGGTTGCTCCCTATAGATAAACATGGGTTGACTCGAGTCCCAAACCAATGGTGTCTTTATAAACTCGTTTTTAAGACTCATTTGTTCATCAATTGGTGTCTCACTCGACACGACTCGTACGCTATACTCAACGCTCACACAATCTTTGGGACAATCTTTTAGACACATTTCCCTTATATTATATGTTTTATCATTGACCACAAGTGGGACGTGTGATTGAAAGCTTGATGCGGTTGTATTGAATCTAAATGCAACCGGATCATTGTCATCAAAATCTAATTCATGTACATATTTATCAATAAACAACGGGTCATATTTAAGGTACTTCTTGGCATAATATCCGACACAACGTCTCATACAATGTGTTTGAGAAGCAGTATTAAATGGTCGATCGCCGGTACCCGACCCGTCATAATAACTACAGTTCCCGTGCGGGTGACCTAAATGTGATGTCAAAGTTTTGGTTAGTATAACAGTACGAGTTTTTCCAAAAGTAGCTGTTTCAATATAATGTGATGGGTCGAGGTTATAAATATTTGGATAAGGTTGCGAGTGAATTAAAATATAGTTAAATGAGTGTAACCCTTCAAATAATTGGGTAATAGTGATCAGTCGATTATTTTCAAAATTTTTATCAACTGTAGTTTCGTTTATGTATAATGTTTTAAAAATAGGATTATATGTATTGTTACTGTATTTGTCATTTAGTTTGAAATATAAGCTAGTTAATGTTTTAAGAACTTCACCAGTGTAATTCTTGTCCCCTGACCATATCATTTTGTTAATGTCGGATCCGTATATAGAATAGTCTTCAAAATTATATTCTTTTGTTATATCACTAAATAATTGTGTCTTAGTTGCATTGAATTTACAAAATGTTTTTGGGAAACATGGTTTAAATGAGTAGTCATCAGGGTGTACTAAAGATACAAACGGGTAATTATTATCCGATTCGTATGTTTTGAAATCAATTGTTATTATGGATTCATAGTTCAAATAAATGATTGTAACATCGTATATTTTAAGCCAAAGTATAGCGGTTAATATTGTTATTAATATTACCTATGTGAAAAGTTTAAATAAAATTTAGGTTACATTTTTATTATTATGTATGGTGTTCATTTCTAGATACATTATTAAATTACTTATTTATTGATAAATTACTGAATAAATAAGGTTTATTACAGTAATAGTAAAATTATATCAAAGTTTAATTAAATAAAATTTATAAATTATATATTATAATGTATTTATATAATATAGTTAATTAAATTTACTAATATTTTAATATTATTGTATAGTTAAGAAAATAATTTAATTATTAGAATAATTTTAAATACTGACCTTTAAATTAATGTTTTTGTTATAAAATGTGATTAATCTTTGGATATAAACTAAATTCTTTACGTAAATAACAATAGGATTATTAAAATAATTTATGTTTAAAAATCTAATAATAATATGTAATAAAGCAAATAAAGTAATTCCGTGCAATAGACTCAATATATTGGCCATACTTATGATGAGGTCAATGAACAATGTTTTTGGCAAATACTTTATATAAATATATAAATCTGAATTAAAATTAAAATTATATTCCAAACTCGTCAACGGATTATCCGGGTCATTATTAAGGTGACTGTACTGTCGATAAAAAAATAATTCATTCAAACATGAAACAGGACATTTAGAAATGCAATATTTGTTAATTTTGTCGTTAAAATCGTTGACATCAGGTGTAAGTAATTGTGAACAAAGTGTAACATTTGGATCCATATAATTGTCGTATAACTGAATGGTTAGTAAACTATTTTCTTTGGGAATACATTGGTATTGACTTTCGTATTGCTTTTGATAGCATTTGTTGAGACAATGAAATTGTGTCTCATTTTCCCAATACTCGTGACATTGAGTGTCGTATGGTTTCGGCAAACGTTTGAACAAATATTTTGTTATTTTTATATCTTTTAACGTGTAATCCGTATTGTCTTTGAATTGAATCCAATTATCGATATATATTGGTAGTGAGCTAGGTGAATGCACGATAAATTTCTTTTTCAAAAAATTAACTTTATTTCGGGAATCATCTTCACCTCGAATTTCTGTGAATGTAATAAATGTATCCATGGTAAAATTTTTGTTATAATCCACAAATTGTGATAAATATGTGCTACATTTGCCAAATGGTGATATTAAATTAATTTTACTTTGTAGCTCATCGCAATATGTTGAATCTAATTTGCAAAATATTACACTGGTGAAAAAGTTGAACTCATCCATGGTAATGTTTACAAAGTAATCATTATTTCTTAACAAATTATATTCAAATTCATCAAGGTTGTTAATGTCTAAATAGTTTGTTAATAATTCAGTGTAGCGTTCACTATTAATTTGTGTTTTAAAATTATACTCCGGGTAAGATTCTATTGTGAATTCTATCTCTTTTACAATGTTTATGTGAAAATAATACCAAGATATATTTCTAATAGCAATGTCAGTTATATTAAACATAAATTCCTCCTGGTAATCTGATTCAAAATCATAATCTCTTTTATAGGAAGAGATTCGTTTAATTAAATATCTTTTAATATCTGGGTTAAATAAAATATTTTTGAAATCCTGTTCATAACATACACTTATAGCGGGAATGTATTGCCGGGAAATCCTATATTTATTTTTAAAGTCTTTGTATTTTATGATTTCGATCGATGTTTGTGTCGGGAATTGTAAGTATTCATCAATTAATAGATATAATTGTATGCAAATTATGGGTAACGTTACGACTGTTATAATTAGCCTCCATCGAAATCGTAATAATATCTTGATTAACGAATAAATATATTTTAAACAGCTTAATTGTTCAATTAATACTGTCTGTAAATAATGTCCAATATATTCTTTAATATTGCTTAACATGAGTCTAATGAGAGCACTGGTATCTATGAATGACGTACCAAACCACAGGCCAATGAGTCCCCCAATAGTGGACATGTAGTCGACAAATGAATACTTGGGTTCCGCTGTGTAATGAAATTCTTGATATAATTTGTATTTAATTCCAATTTTCGTGTTATTTTGTGCCGAATAAGTGTTACTCTCATAGACTAACGTATATTGTATTTCATCACAATTTATAACACATTTGTGTTTACAATACATTTCATTAACAGAATATTCTTGACTATTATTACTACATATTCTATATTGTGTTTGACTCGCATTCATAAGAATAAACTCTTCATTGATGTAAGGATTGGGTAAACATTTGTATCGTTTGTGGTAAAGTGTTTCAATACATTTTGAGTAACAATCTGTAAAATGTAGACCAAAACCTATAGTATATAAATAAATTTTTATAAAATTTCATAATAAATAAAAACATTAAAAAATAATGATACCTTTACTATTGCAGACACGCATATAAGGGGCTGATAGCCGATGGAAATGTGTGGCTCTTATTTGTATCGCTCCTTTCACTCCGATTTGTTTTACATGAATCGCCTTATGCTTTGCGGACATCAGGGGCTCATTCATTGGATTTGTGAACATATAGATACCTAAATAATCACCTGGATATAAGTCCTTTAAATTATAAACACCCGCTGAACCTGTAGAATTTGTTATATAATATTCACTGCGATATAATTGTTGATAATTTTTATATGGGATCTTAAACTCAATAGAATCGTTGTCTTTAAGATATAGTTTATCAGTATTTGTATAGAAATACGTGAAACATATTCCGAAGTCTTTGTATTTTATGATTTCGATCGATGTTTGTGTCGGGAATTGTAAGTATTCATCAATTAATAGATATAATTAATAATCTCATTGCAAATATTATGTTTTATTTTAAAATATACAGGTGCCAAAAATTTGTTTAAACCGTTTATAAAACTATTAATTATATTTATATCCAAAACGGCATAACTTTGCGAACAATCAGTCATTACTTGAGAATCACTGCTATTATTGTCATAATCAGTAATTTTGTGTTTAATATGGATTTGTGCTGAACAGTTAAATAATTCATTTGCTTTCATAGTAAAAATTTTGAACATTTCACTAAACTTAACGTTTTCAAGAAACTGGTTTAATAATTCTTTATAATTAACAAAATAATGAATTGCAATTTTTTTACCTGGATATTGTTTGGCAGCACATAATGATTTAATACTAAATGGATCATTAATAGCAACGTCAACAGATTTGTATGTGTCATTGATGCATTTTTGCAATATCTGATTCATATATGGTTTGTATAAGTGGTGTTCATTACTTACATTAAAGTATTGAAATATTTTTGTTTTATCCAAAAACACATCCCTTTCCGTACATACAGTAATCGGCGGTAAATATAACTGTTCAGAGGGTTTAACACTCAGTCATATAATATACGGGTAATTCAAGTAATCTATAGTCACTTGTATACCCATATATATTAATACAATTAAACAAGTAAGTTTTGTAATTAGTTTTATATATGATTTAATCAAGTGAATAAATTTTTGAATGATCACTTTAAATAAATACAGAATACTATTTATAATTATGTTGAAGTATAATGATACTTGATTAAATGTTGCATTAAATAAAAATTTTACGCGGGATATAAAGTTAAGCATTTTACGTTTTGGATATAAATATAATTAATAGTTTTATAAACGGTTTAAACAAATTTTTGGCACCTGTATATTTTAAAATAAAACATAATATTTGCAATGAGATTATTTTCTTATGCCTACCTCATACATAAAATTTTATTATTATATTAAACTTAAAAATTCGCATACACCGGGTTTTAATTATGTGTAACTTATAATTTAAGTTTTTATACTAGCAGACATATCATACTCTTGAAGTAATCCATTCATAAAATAAAAATAAAAATATTATTTTTTAATATCAGATTCTGTACATCTAAAATATTATATAAACTAATTTAGAAATGCTTTGATAAATATTTTTGAAAAGCTTAATTAATTTATGTTGTGGTAACGCCTCTATTTGTCAAATTAATTATTTTGGGTGTTGCCAGGTTAAATGCAACAATATAATATATAATTACAAATATTATTCTTTAATATTATTTTCCGTCATATTCTGTATATGAAAAGTGCAATAGAATATTATTATATATTATATATTACTATATATTGCACAATTGTAGCACAAGGTGCTTATTAAATAAACATAAACAAGCAATAAAATGAAAAATATAAATAATTTTAAATGTAAAAATTCATGTGTTGTTAATATTAATTTTGAAAATTGTTATATTTAATTAGAATAAAATATTTATATTAAATTGTTAACTACACTTAGAAATTGATAATTTCAACTGTAAATTAACTGATTAAAAATGCAGTAATCTAATGTTATTTACAAAATCTATTTAAATGGCTTATATTAAGGCTCCAAAAATCATTAGACTTATTAATTATATATATATTTTTAAATAAATTGTAATAACCAATTTAAAAACATTAGTATATAATACTATACTATAGATAAGAGTATGACATTTTTGTTTAGGCTCTAAGAATTTATTAAATTAATTTTAAAACTATACAATTATATTAAAATATTAGTTTTTATTAAATATATCATGTAAATACAATATAATATATAATTTATAAATTTTTACATTTTAAATTTATTTTACTATTACTTATCAAAATTAGTATTTTAATAGTAATTTTTTAAATAATGAATTGAAAATTATTTTATTATTTATAAATAACTTCATAATATGTTTTTAATATATCATTAATGTGTTACAATAATGTGTTTAATATATTATTTTTAAATGTTTAAAATTTAACAGTTTTATTGAACTGTAATTATATACACTTAATTGCATTTTATATTAATTGCTTTTATTTTTACATGTAAGAGGCGGTAATACAAAACCCACATTTGTATCCTACTTAAAAATTAACAATAGCACACTGTACAATTTAGTAATTAACATTAAGCTGCATTTAAACGTGTGTTTTATATTAATTATGAACTATATTTGTACATGTGCATTCAAGATCATTATGTGATATAATCTCAGCTAGCTCACCTGATGTTTAGTATCCATGACCTTGCTAGAATATTCCTATTTATCATAAATAAAATCCATACAATTTATTAATCTATTTACTTTAGATGTACTTTATACTTTTAAAAATAAAACTAATTTTGTCAAAATAATATTTTTAAAATTCATTTATTTATTATAATCGAAATTTCAACTTATTTACTTTTTACAATTATAATTTATGCATGCTATTTATCTGTGATAATTTAATTACTTTATTAAATAAATTATTTAGTTATAATTTAATATTTTATCATTATATTGTGAAATGTAACAACAAAATGCGGATGTACCTGATACCATGGGATAACTATGTATGGCAATATGAACCGATCAGGCTAAATATGATCTGTTGTGTAAGTCTATCCATGGGAACTACATTTTAATTCATTATTATTACAAACACATGTAGTATTTTAGATAATTACTATTATGTGTATATTAAATTATAAATAAGGTCATTTTAAACCTTTTGTACCACTTCAATAAATACTTGCCCTAGTAACAATTTTTCCGACTCTGTTTATTTTCCCAGTGTATACCCAGATAACTTTTTAAAAATATTTTAAATTTAATTGTTTTGCTATTATTTAGTTCAATAATAGTTAGACAATAGGTTCGACACAATAGTCATGAACCATATGCTACTCCTATTTAGTCTAACCATAGGCTTAACCCTATGGGAAGGGGTGTCGGGAAAGTGCGGTTACGACAACTGCCCGGCGACTGACCCCAAAAAGCTGAACATACATCTCATACCCCATTCCCACGACGACGTGGGATGGATGGTGACGGCCGACCAGTACGCCGACGGGTCGACCAATCAGATCATCACGAATGTGGTGAAGGAACTGGAGAAAAATGGCGACCGGAGGTTCACGTACGTGGAAATGTACTTTTTTCACAGGTGGTGGAGTGGACAGACAGATGAGCGCCGGGATGTGGTCAGGAAACTGGTGGCTGAGGGCCGGTTGGTGTTTACGAATGGCGGGTGGACTGTGAATGATGAGGGTGCCGCTCATTATAATAATATTATCGATCAGATGACCATGGGTATGTAGTATATGAATTTTATGGTTTTAATAGGCTTTATTTGCCTGGCTCATACTAGTTGTGAGCTAGTTGAAAAGTGAATGCTTATTGAATTAATTGTAGTGACGCCTAGTGAGTCGCGTAATTATAGTTTAACGTACCGGTACATAATTTATTGCTTGAAAAACTTATATTAAAATAATAGTTATTTTAAATTAGATTTATTTATAAATTATAACTGGTCATCATTGTGGTCCCATTATTTTATTTTATTGAGAATTTTATATTTTAATATTTAAAAATATTTATCTTACAGTTTTTCAAAATAGCGGTAATATTAATAAAAAAAATAGTAACTGATTTGATAAGCTTAATATTTAGACTTTATAACATATCATATCGAAAATAGTTATTGTATTATATAATCAAAGTGCATTTTTAATATATTGATTAAAGATTAACGTTAAATTTTTTAAATATCTATTACTTTCATTTCTTAAGATAATAATAATAAAATTATAAAATAACATATTAGATTTTATTATAATATAAAACAAACTGCAATAAAAACTATAAATATACTTTTATATTAAAAGAAACGTATTTTCCTATTATGGTTTTATTATTATAAGTCATTATATTTATATTTATATTTTTAAAGATTAGCTTTTTAAATTAAAATTGTATACACAATATAATTTCAATACCAATCCCAATATTTTAACCAGGTTTAAAATTCTTAAACGAAACATTCGGTCAGTGCGCGCACCCAAAAGTATCCTGGCAAATTGACCCCTTTGGCGCCTCCCTGGAGATGCCCTCCCTGTACGCACAAATGGGTTTCGACGCCCACGTCACCAACCGGGGGCCTAACATAGACAAGGGCGAATATATCTGGGACACGTCCAAGGACCTAAACACCAAGATATTTACTACAGTTTTGCATAACCACTACTCTGCCCCTGGTGGGTTTAACTTTGAAAACGGTAATAACGCTATCACTGACCAAAATGCTGAGCAAAAGACCCAGGCGTTCATACAAAACGCCCAAAACTGGAATAAAGACTACGGAAACACAAACCACGTGTTGGTGACAATGGGCGACGACTTCCAGTATAAGACAGCGAACACGTGGTTCGAGAACATGGATCGTCTCGTGAAGGAGGCGAAGGCCCGGCACCCGGAGGTGAACCTCATGTACTCAACGCCTAATTGTTATGTGAAAGCCCTGAATGGAGTGAACCATACGTATGCGGAGAGGACGGTCGACTATCTGACCTATTGGGTGGGCTATTACGCGAATCGACCGGCGCTGAAGTATCAGGATAGGAGTACTAATAATATACTGCAGGTTAGTATTTGTGATGATTTTACATAAAATAATATTAATATTTAAGTGTCTGTCTCCCGGTCTGCCCATAAATATTATAAATATTTTATAAATATATAAAGAATTTTATATTTAATTAAATTTACAGTTTTAGAATTAAGTTTGTTTATTGATTTTTAAGTAGATTAATAATACTAATTTATTAATTAATTAATTATAGTCCAACTTGTTTAGTTAATTATTCTATTTTAATAAGACTTTGATAACATTTAGCAAGGTAGTATTAATATTTTAATACAAAACGTTAAAAAACAGCGCTTCTGTTTAAGCCTTGTATAATACATTGACAAATATTTCAAAAACATTTCCTACATGGTTACAGTTTTATGACATTTATTTTAATTATTCAAAAATAATCAGTATTTTAGGTTCTGAATATTTATTTGTTAATAATTATAAATTAATTATTTTAACCTAAACCACATTGCTTATATAGATCAGCAAACAATTGTCAGTATTGGCCCGATTAGACCCCCTAAACACCAGGGCCTACGTGGATGAGGCCAGCAATGAGGTGGCAGTGATGACACATCACGACGCCATCACCGGTACGTCACCGCAGGCTACGGCCGACGACTACACGAGTCGACTGCAGTCGGGATACG